TTAAATAAAAAAGAAAGAAATTATGACTCAGAAGGGGATGGTGCCCTCCTTTAATTCTAGCACTCAGGAAGGGGAAGCAGGTTGATTTCTGTGAGGTTGAGGCCAGCCTTGTTTATAGAGTGAGTTCCAAGATAACTAGAGATGTTACACAGAGAAACTCTTGAAAAACAAACAGCAAACAAAAACAAGCCGAACAAACAAAAAACCCAAAACCAAACAAAAATAAAAAACAAAAAAGTGAAACTTCAATTGTCCTGTAAATTAAAATGGTAGATATAGAGTTGTTTCTTTAAATAATCATAGAAATTAAAGAATTGATTCCATGTATGGACAATCTAGTAATTTCTTAGTCTACTTCAAATCTAGAGTATTTTTTTTCAAGCAGGGAACATGCTGTCTTAGAATAAGACAAAAAAATCTGTGGGTTACGGCAGGAGATAATAGAATAGCTTAAAGTAGCCTATAAAATGTTTCGGTTATTTTGCTGTGTTCTTTGTCAATATGTTTATATCATACTGAAATTTACATAGAATTAAAGAAGGTTTAATGTATTTATTAATTTGAGATATAGATTTAAAAAGTTTAAAAGCATTGATATAATAATCCATGTTAAGTAGCTCCAAAGAATTTTTTAGGACCAGTCCTATCAGAGAATAGTTGTCTAATCTACCTCTGTGGGGTCCTTGGTCTTCTTTTGGGGGCAGAAAGGGAATTCAGGGTTTGTTGTCAGTCACAGATATATGGAACAGGATAATATACATTTTGGTAAAAAATGAAGCCTTGTGCCACAATGACAAAATAATCTCATGTTTCTGAAGACTCAGTGAGATTCTTTTGTATCTCTTGACATATTCTTTGGGTTTTATTAACACATTCTCTAAACATAATAGGATCAAAGAGAAATTTTTTCCTACATTATTTTCTAGTACTTATAGGTCAAAAGAAGTGATAATTAGTTCTATCTATTTTCCTTCACATTCTGAATTTATATACAATTAAGAAAAATGGTCAATTTGAGTCAGAAAGATGGATATAAAATTATTAATATTTTACTGGTAAAGTTATTAAAGGATAGAAACTTGGCCTGTTTAAAAGAATTGGCATCCTTCAATCTGGAACTTATAGAGTTTGAATCTAGGGAACAGATAGCATAGACCTAGACATTAAGTCCTGTCTTGGATTGGATGCCATTGGAAAATTAAGAATCTAAGGAAAACAGTTTACTTATGGGAAAAACATAGAGTAACATGGTGACAAGTCAGTTACTCCAGTGAGACACTGTGTCTGCTTTTCTCAAGGAAATTCTAGAAAAGATGCAAGATGCATGCTTTATCATTATCCATCCCAAGAGTCAATGAAGATGGAGTATTTAATGATGGGGAAATTCTCCAAATTAATTCTGAGGTTTTACTGTGAGTGCCTAAGCAGAAGGAATGCCAGTGGTTTAGACAAAAATACCTTAGGCTAGGAGGCGAAGATACTGGTGACTAAAGGTCAACCACAGGAAACAATGAAAAATATGTGTTCAGAGACTGATGTCTACTACAGGCCCACAGAATGTTTAGAGAGGGATTATTCTCCAGTCTAACAATGGCCTTTGAGCTGGACCCACTGCTAGGAATATGAAGCAGAACAAGCATGAAGTCTTTAAACTTCTTAACAGATGTGTTACAAAAGGAGAAAAGAAAGGAGAGTCATATAAATGATTTGAGAGTCATTACTTGGGCAGTATAGGAGGATAGGGTATGTATCAGAAGGAGTCCCTTTAGAAGAGGGAAGTGAGTTTTGCTCTGGGAAGAATCAATGTAAGAACATAAGAGGAGGAACCAATTGTTCATGACTACAATTGGAATATGAGATTTAGAATCATCATTCACTAAATATCATAATAATTGTTGACACTGATAATAATGAAGAAAGAAGCATTGAAACAACAAAAGTTTTTATGTTTTAGAAAGAAGTTTTCATGATGAGCAGACCTTAAGGTTTCTGTACACAGTTGTTTTTTTTTTTTGTTTGTTTGTTTTTAAATCTGGCTTGTTTGTTTCTGACTAGTCTTTTCCAATCTCTTTCCTATAAGAAGCAAGGTTTTGTCATCATGTCCCAGAGCAGAACAGAGAAGGAAATGGGGTAGTCAGTTTGACAGTAGGATGTTTTGTGCTGGTGTTGAGAATAAGCAAGGGTGGTTTGCTAACAGTAGCAAAAAAAATGAGTAGAAACTACAGGAAGCAGAAAGGAGAACAGATGCAGTTTCTTGTCTTTATGTGACTGGATAAAGTCACATGTTATATGGTATATTTGTCAATTCTGTTGAAATAACTCACATCTGTATGTCAATATTAATATTATTAATTATTTATATGAACTCAAAACATCCTTTATAGTAAGTCATTTGGCAGTAGATGTATGTGGTCTACTTTTCTCTATCTCCCAAACATTTTTAGACTGTTTAATACTAGCAATTGATTTAAAATTAGCAATTTAATAACAGGATTATTTTGATACATAAAACCATTGCCACTTATTCCCTAATTATTTATCTTTAATAGCATTTACAATTTTTCTAAACTAATGTAAAATTTATTTGTGTTTCCCAAAAGAATATTTGTAACAAATTTTAGCACTTGGAAATGCTTCTTAACTACTAGAACAGGCAGGAGTAGGGAAGATGTTTATTGTTTTTCTGGACAGTGATAATAAAAAGATTTATTTTAAGCAGAGTGGTACTGGTGCACGCCTTTAATCCCAGCACTTGGGAGTCAGAGGCAGGCAGATTTCAGTGAGTTCAAAACCAGCCTGGTATACAAAGTGAGTTCCAGGATGTCTAGGACTGTCTTGAAAAACAAGATTGAGAAAGAGAGAGAGAGAGAGAGAGAGAGAGAGAGACCAGTCTTATACCTACTACTTAAAAAGAAAATTTGATGGTAGAGGTAGTAGTTTTAATGTTTTGTAATCAATTAACCTGGAATTTCTAAACAATTAAACATTAGAGTTGAGTTTTTAATATTTTCTTGTTGAAATTGAATCAAACTGGCAATAAACTTAACATATTCACCCAAAGAGAGTGAGAGTAGTCAGTTTCTCTGCTCCTAATACTCGGCACACACGGAGGAATTGGCACCAACTTTTATGAGTTTTGAGTTGTAGGAACACTGCAGTTTATTATATTGTAACACTCTGTACTGCTTTGTACATTGTATTCCTCACCCCACCCTGGAAAAAAGTCAACAGCTCTGCCACAAATCCTCAGAATTTCTGGGTAAATAGAAGGTTGGATTTGATTGTGCCCACTTTGCTGAGTGATATTGTAGTATATGTGCTAGGCATAGAGGGTGAAAAAGGGTGAGTATAATGCTGGTTCAATTAGAAGGCAGAAATAAGCCACTGATTAGAGCATGAAATTAGGATACTTTCTGTCAAGGAAAGCATTTCAAAGGAATGGACTATCTGTCTAGAAAAGGCATAAATGTTATTCTGTAAATATGACTTTCCCCACAAAAAATATGCTTTCATCTAGATTTTGGTGATTGTCTTTTTTTGTTTGTTTATTTTTTGACAGGGTTTTCTGTGTATTCCTGACTGTGTTGAAATTCACTTTATGGACCAGGCTGGCCTCGATTTCACGGAGATCTTCCTGTCTCTGTCTCCTGAGTTCTGGAATTAAAGGTGTATGCCACCACTGTTCGGTTGGTGTTTGTCCTTTTATTAGGCTGTTTCTAGAAATGTGTATTGGTTATCTACCTGGCTTTTATTTTTCTATGAGCACGGTAAGTGGGAGTCACTACCCAAGAAAGAAAGGGACTTGAATTTTCCTTAATATATAAGGTGCCTTAATGTTGCTTTTGAGGATGGCGAGTGGAGTTGGTTTTGGCTGTGTGCAAATGGCATTAAACTCCTCCACCATGTATTTTCTAAGGTTTACTCATTATAATTGTTAATTGTACTTTTAAAATTCGCTTTCAACAGCAGGATTTGAGACCAGCAGCAGGCCTGTGAGCTGGGTGAGGAGGAAGAGGGTCTCTGGGGTTGGGCTGGCCTGGCTGGAGTTGGTGGAGGGGAGTGTTCTGGAGGGGTGGCACACACTGCAGTGACAGTCCCTCCCAGGGCTGGTTGAGGCACCTCACTGGTGACGGGTCTGAAAGCACGTGGCTACGTCATGGAAAGCCAGTCTTTTCAATGCAAACTTCAACTCCTCCTCCTCCCTCTAATGCCTGTAACTCACAGCCAAGGCTGGGCGAGAAATACGGAGGAGAGATTTTCCTCATGCTCACGGTGCCTGGAGACTGGAAGGAAGAGTGTAAGGAAGGAGAAAGGAAATTTGTGGCGCTTTCTACCTACTACGAGACTGACAAGGGGAGGGGGCATCTACATTACATCTTCTCTTCGTGATTAAGAACTGCAGTTTCAGTCCAATCCCACGGAGCTCTGGTGATTGCTTATCTTTGAAAAAAAAAAAATTGACCGCGGGAGAAGGAAGGCTCAGTCTTTGGCGGCCAGATACATCTCGGAGGTGGTATTGGTGTATGAGTGTGTGTGGTGGTGTTTTGTTTTTCTTTTTTCTTTTTTCTTTCTTTCTTTCTTTTTCCTTTCTTCCTTTTTTTCTCCCTCCCCCCACCCCCCGTTTTTTCCCTTCTCTCCTAGGGGCTACACAATGGCAGTCTTCTCTCGCTAAGATGAATCCAGCTTGCCTTCTGCAGATCCGCCCATCCTCAGTTCCATTGAGTAAAAGGCTATGATTTTCTCTTTGGAGATCTTTTGTGCATTACTGTTCTTCCTGATTAGTTCTGATCTCGGTTGGGATTTCTTTGCTTTTTTTGGTTTAGCTTCATGTGAAAAAGGATTTTTTTCTCTCCAACCCTTTGGTCATGATCCAGTGCTGATCAAGAGGGGATAAATCATTCACCCTGGCCGAGAAAAAACAATCGCTGAGAAGTCTCAAAGAGGTATACCACGTGAGGGGAAAAAACTGGGAGAAGATCTGGAATATTAACGTTTTTCCTATGGTAAAACCGGTGCCCCTCTTCAGGAGAACTGATTTCAAGTTATTATTATGCAACCACAAGGGCCTCTTCTTTCTCAGGGTGTCTAAGCTGCTGGGTTGCTTTTCGCCCAAATCAATGTGGTTTCTTTGGAACATTTTCAGCAAAGGAACGCATATGCTGCAGTGTCTTTGTGGCAAGAGTCTTAAGAAAAACAAGAACCCAACTGGTAAGCAAAGCATGCATCATATTCTGTTTTTCCTCGTAATACCCTGTCTGTTGCTCACCGAGCTAGGTCTGCAGTTTTGCTATGCAGGAGGCCAGGGAACACCAAGGAACCCGGACAGTGTTGCATACAGAGGTGTTGCATGAATAAACAAGTAGCTACCGCCGATTTGCTTCCTCCGGACCCAAAAAACCTGATCAACAGCTCTTAGCTGTGACACAATCCATCACTAGGAGGGAGGAGTAAACTTTTTTTTTTTAAACCCCACTAAATGGATTTGGTCTCTCGTTTGTCTGGTGGAATATTGAAGGGCTTATGGCTTATGGCTGTGCCAGGAGAAAGAGCAGAGAGCTTGCCTTACTTCTGCTCCTCTGGGGACAGAGCTTTAGACTTTCTGATTAGCTTGCACAATATTCGCCACCCCATCACCTTTAGCAAAGTAAAAGCTCCCCCTCCTTCATGGCCCGGCTCCTCCGTCAGCCCCCGCCTCCCTCCCCCGTCTAGCTCTGGGTGCTATTAACTCATTCCCTAGTCTGCCTCTGACACATCTAGCCTGCGAACAGTGAACACTGGAGCAGGGCTTGTGCCTGGGGGAACCAGGTCCTAGAGGACAACCCCAGTCCCTCTAATATATGCCATTTAAGTTCCTTTCCCTTTCACAAACGGGCGTGCAAACCCTGTGTGTGGGTCCCAGGATGACCAGCGGGTCCCTGCCTTATGCCTTCTGGCGACCACACGCCCCGATTTCAAAGGGCTCCAACCAGGGAACTTGCAGTATATTACATAAGAAATGCAAATGCAGGTGATTTGGGGAGCCGGTCCCAGGGGTTTACTTCCCTGTGTCTAGTCTGAGGCGTTTGGGAGCCGCGGAGTCGTGGGCGAGCAACCCTCAGGCAGCTACGCTGGAGGGCTGCCTGGCGGTGGCAGCTGCGGCAAAGGAGGCTGGGTGCAGTGTTTCCTCAAATCATTTCTGCTGTCAGCCAGGAGCGTGCGGCATCTCCTGTTTGGGATGGAGTGGGGAGAGGCCTGGAGCGGAGCGGTTTATTTATTTATTTATTTATTTATTTATTTATTTATTTATTTATTTATTTATTTATTTATTTTGTCTGTAGCTGTGCTGGAGGGGCGGGGGATCATCTGTCCTGCAGCGGCAGCGGGGCAACTAAGGCTGCTTGAAGCTGGCACTGCGGTGCACTAGATCATGGCTCTCCCGCGACCGCCCTGACACCTGGGGCTCAGAGCCGGCCACGCTGTCACCCAGAACTCCCACGGCTGGGCAGCAAGTGGCTGCTCGCTCCCAGCCTCTCAACCTAGCAAATGTAACATCATGGGGATGACGCGAGCAGAGGGGGTTGCGGCCTTGTGGTTTTAAGGAGAACAGAGGAGCGTGGGTGGGCGGGGTTGGAAGCAGTGGGTGTGGAGGTCTAGGACGTTTTGCAGACACCACTTCTGCAAAAAAAGGCAAGGTGCATGAGAGTTGTTAAGAGTGTCCAAAAGGGCAAATGCTCCTGTGCTCAGGGCAAGGGAAGTTGCTCCTAGCTGGGGAGCTTAGAGGACTATGGAGGTTCTGAGAAGAGACAGCCATTGACTTCTCAAGGGTTACCTGCTCATTGAAGTTGTTGCCTCTGTCCTACTGTCCTGGTCCTTGAATTCTACATTCATACCTTGCCTAACGAGCCTCCTTCACTGTTTCCTGTCCTTTTACCCTTCTGCACCTTACCTACTCAGCGTTTAGTGACACTGGAAGTCTCATCCTGAGACTTCTCTAAGGAAAGAGCAGACTGGACACCCTACTTAGCAGAGCATTCCTGATTCAGGCCCAGAGTGTACTCCCGGTCCTTGGCATCCAGCCTAACACTACAGATGCTTGGTTCAATTACCCACCTACATCTGCAGCACTGGTTCATGCCCTGAACATGAAATAGCTGTCTGCAGGACTTTCCAAGGTGGACAGGCCAAAGGCTAGAAGCCTTCTTGTGTTGTTCTGTGAAAAGATTTAGCTTTCTTCTGAAAAAGCAACACAGTAGAAAGCCTTTCTTTTTTTGTGACTTGACCATTTGTCTAGGGACCTTGAAGTCATCCCTTCCATAATATTGGTGAGTGGGAAATAACTCAGCAGGAAGAAACAGTAAGCTTGTTCCGGGGCCTTTATGTTTTTATTGTAAATAATTTTACTGGAAATGCCAATCCCCCACCACTCAGTTTAAGATCTTTTTATTACACTTCCTCCACCAACTTTCATCCCTCAAGAATAGTTTTCCCTTTCCAAAGTGTTTTAGAAGGCGTTAAACAAATGATTATTTATTTTAAGAGCAATTTAATTTTCAGCTTATGTGTGCTAATGTACTTGGGTGGTAAAGTGATGAGTTAACCCATGGCATATCTGACAGCATAACCAGATAGTCTAATAGTATAGTAAGATCTTAGATTACCAGAGAGAATTTAGGAGATTTAAAAAAAAATGGGACATTGTTTGGTCTTTTTAACTGAACTCAAACCCATGCCTGCCATTTCTTCTGAATATTGTACTTAGTGAGGTCTACTCTCCTGCTAGTAACACAAAGCCTATAATCATTTGTAGTTATTTGATCCCAAGATAGCAATACAACTAAGAATTTAATTGGGTAATTAAAATAAAAAGGACTAAAATCCTCTAAACTGTTAAAAACAAAACACACAGATTGACGACTACCTATTATATTATCTTAAATCTAAAAGAAGGACAATTAACTGGTTTCAAGTGAAAAAGCTTGACAGAATGCTGCCAAGCACAAGGGAATTGGTGCAAAGCAGCCTGTATTATTTCAGAGACAACTTTTAGGCTGTTTTTTTCTTCCCTATCTTTACAAGTTATTAAATAATTTGATGATTATTTTTGATTCTTGAAATCATCAAGAAGTATGGGGAATTGGGCTAAAGATTCCTGGGCTGAAGTTTTTAGAACAGGTTAGTATAAAAATAAGCAGATAGAGGTATGGATTTACTACTTTGTCCTGTAGTTGTGTTATGTGATATCTAATGAGAAAATCATAGCATGTATTTGTGCTACATATTCTTTTAAAAACTAAATCACAATAGCTTAAAATATTTTGATGTAAAATAAAATCTACCAGTTTCACTAAAGTACCTAACATTTCAAAGTACAGTGATTATTAGAGAACATATTCGGATGCACACACATGCTCAGATGTCCTACTTTCTGCTATTTTCCTAGCAGAGCAATAGCTGTGCATTTAGAAGAGATGTTACCTGCTGTAGCTTTTGCTGTATGAGTCATGAAAGGTGACTGTATTTTAGGCAAATCATTAAACAAGAATACTAAGTACAAGTTGCTTATTTTGCCTGGAGAAGGCCTGGCATTTTTTTTTTTCACCAGTGTGACAATTTAGAATGACCAGTGTATATAACAGACTGGGTTAGAAAATAATCTAGGTCACTGCTCTTGAAGCAAAGACAGATAAGGTTATAAATACAATTGATATGTACTAAGGTTGTTTCATTTCTGTCTCTCCAGATTCACAAAACAAGCAAAAGAAATCAGGGACTCTTTCACATGCTGTACCCAACACACCACACAAGACCCCTAAGCCTCCTCACCAAGATAAGACTCTGGAAAACTCAGATTTTTAAAATACATTGCAATATGTGAGAATCTTCTTGAATACAGATGTCTGTGGTGGGAGGATATGTAGGAAGAAGATTACCTAGACATAGTTCCACAGAGTGCACTGGGAATATTCCACAGACTAATGGCCTCTGGTGTTCCCATCATGGCCTTTTGAAGTGAGAAAATAGAGAAAGAAGGAAAAATATTAAGTACCCCTTTTCTATTATTCTTATCCTGAAGTCTGAAGTCTTAATTTAAGGCTTCTCTAGAGCTTGGTGAGCAACAAATTGGCAAGGCCTGCATTTCTAAACACCAAGTGTACAGCAAATGAAGACAACAAATTCAGATAGCATGGACAGAAGAAAAAACATGTGGAAATTCTTTTTGTAATGTTCCTTCCAGGAAGTTTTAGTTATTGAGGTGGTAAAGTTAGCTATACTGAGCAGGGCTACTTCATGAACCAAAAGTGGCATTTTTAACAAGACTTCCAAGTAATGAATTATTAGAAGAGTGGACTTTTTCTTTTCTTGAAATTGACATCCAAGTTTACAATTATAAAATCAGTGCACAATAATGTGAACTCAGCTTTAACCATGAAGACAATGATGTTCAAATGATGCATCACTCTTCGAATGTGCTAAAGCTAACTCTATACTCTGCCTCACATTTCCCACAGTGAACTATTCCTTTACAGTTGTTGAACCCAGCTTTCCACATTTTAGTTAAACACTCATTGGAAACTTTTGTGTTTTCATACAAATGGTAACAAGGACAACAACCAATGTTTAAGCTCCTTTGCTCATTTTGACATCATGCCTCAGTCACCATGACTCATAAGTTTTCTATAAATAAATACAGTGTATATATATCAAAATGGATAATAATCTATTTCCAATAGTTTCTTATGCTTTAGGGGGAGATAGTTGGGGCACTTGAAGAGTGTGGTAGAAATTCTGCCTCTGTGAAGTTTAAACCTGTCATTGCATTATGTCTAGAGTTAAATAATGAACAAAACCCTCTGAACCCAACTCAGCCCTACCCTCAAGTCAATGTGGGTCATGAATAGATCTACATGTGATATATGCCTGCTAGTGCTCAGTCTATACATTGTTCCTTAAGCCTTTGGTTTGTGAGCCATGCATCAGATCCATGTGTGAATTGACCTGGGTATTGACTGGCTAGGCATTTTCTGAGGGAGATGGCTCAATTTCTTAATTTATTTTCTGAGATGTAATTCCTGAGTTTTGCTATTCTATTTTAGAAGAGTCACTAATCCTGATGTTTCCCCTGTGTATTTCTCCAGTTGATACAAAATAATGCTTTTATTTGGTCAAAGATAGGGTAATTAGGGAAGTCAAAAGGAGGAACTCCTAGGATTTTGGGAACATGAGGTCAA